GGGACGTGGGGAAACAGGGATGTGGGGACATGGGGACACAGGGATGTGGGGACACATGGACACGGGGACACATGGACACGGGGACACGGGGGTCAGCGCGGAAGCCCCCAGCAGCCCCGGCCGCCCCCGCGGGCCCTTCCCAGCCCGTTCCCCCTCCGAGGGGCGCCCGGCGCCGCACCTGGCCCTTGCGGAAGAAGTTGGGCAGGTGCTTCATGGCGTTGCTGCGCACGCAGGCGATGTTGTCGTAGCGGCCGGGCTGCGCCGCGCGCAGCGCCCGGATCCGGTCCCGCACGAAGTCCGACACCTTCACGCGGATCTCGAGGCCCAGCATGAGCGTGCGGGGGAAGAGCGGCGCCAGCTCCACTGCGGGGGTGGGGGTGGGTGCGTGGGGGGGGGTCAGCCGCGGCGCCGTCACCCCCCGCGCCCGCGGGACCCCCCCTCACCCAGCAGCCCTCCGTAGCCGCAGCCGATGTCGGCGAATTCCACGTGTGCCGCCGCCTCCGGAGCCGCGGGGAAGAAGGCCGGGAAGAGCTGGGCCCAGTCCATGTCCTCGGGCCTGGCGGGGCTGCGGGGACACGAGGGGCTCCGTGGGGACGGGGACACGGGGCCCCCCCGCCCCCACCCCAGCCTCGTTCCCAGCTCCCTTCCTGGTTCTGCTCCCAGCCGCATTCCCAGCTCCATCCTCAACCCTTTCCCGCTCCCATCCCAGCCCCATTCCCGGCTCCGTTCCCAGCCCCTTCCTGACCCGATGCCAGGTCCGTTCCCGGCCCCGCTCCCCGCCCCATTCCCAACCCCATCCCGTTTCCAGCCCCATTCCCGACAGCCGCCGCAGCTCCATTCCCGACTCCCAGCCCAAGCCCATTCCGGGGGGCACCGGCCCAGGGGCCGCCCCCTCGGGTCCCGGGAGCAGCCGGGTCCCGGTAACCGCAGGGAACCGGCTTCACGGGACAGGCTCCGCGGGAACGGGCTGGGGCCGGGCGCTTTACCGGGAACGGGGCCGCTTTAACCGGGAATGGGGGCAATTTTACCGGCACCGGGCGAGCGCCGGTGCCCGGGGCTGCGGTAACCGGCCCTGGGCGGTCCCGGCGCGCCCAGCTCCGGTCCCGGCGGCGCTGCCGGTGCCGCACTCACTAGCGCAGCGTGTGGTCGGCCAGCGGGTTGGAGTGCGCCCGCTGCCGGTAGAACCGCTTCTGCGGCGGCGCCGCTGCCGGTACCGCTGCCGGTACCGGTGCCACCTCCATGGCGGCCCCCAGGGCGCGGAGCGGCGCGGCGCGGGCGCCCACCAGTGACGTCACCGCGCGGCGCTTCCGGGCGCGCCCCCAAGTGGCCGTAAATGCCCCCGCCAGCGCCACGCCCCCTGGGGGCGGGGTCTCGTTACGCCCCGCCCCCGCGAGCCCCGTGGCTGCCCGCGGCCCCCAGGGACCTTCCCAGTCCCCCCACTGACTGTCCCATGGCCCCCGGGTCCCCCCAGGGCCCTTCCCAGCCCCCCCAGTAACCCCCGGGAACTGTCGCATGGTCCCCAGGGATCCCCAGGGCCTGTCCCACTGCTCCCAGTCTCCCCAGTGACCCCCAGGGTCCATCCCAGCTCCCCCAGTTGCCCTCAGGCCCCTTCCCATTGCCCCTGGCGTCCCCAGTGACCGGCCCGTTGCTCCCAGTCCCACCCAGCACCCCGACACGCCGAGGCCTCAAGGCTCCCCCCCCACCCATGAGTAATTAGCAGCAGCCGCTAACGAGTCCCGGGAGGGGCCATTCCCGCCAGCGGGACCGGCGGGGAATTCGGGTTGTGGCGAAGCCGGGGGCGGTTTCTGAGAAGGCACCGGGGAGGGTTGAGCAACTGTCCGTCTGTCTGTCTGTCCTGCTGGGCCCCGCAGCCGCCCCCCCCACCCTGGGGTGACGGGAAACGGCGGCGGGAGGAAGGACGCGGTGTCACCCCGTGACACCGGCGTGGCCGGGGGGGCACCAGCCGCAGCGTCCCCCCCGCCGGTGCCGTGCGCAGGGCAGGGGACGCCCCGCGCGGTGCCGCATTAACCCGGTGACGCGCGGCGTGACGCAGGCGCCCGCGGGGTCCCGGCGGGGTTAACCAGCCCCCCCGCCCCGGCCCGTTGCTCATTACCCCCRGGCCGGGAGGTCTCCGGTTACTCTTTATCCCCGGGGCTGGGAAAGGGCCCCCGGGGCTGCAGGGAGCTGCTGCGGTGACAGGGGGACAGAAGAGGACAGGGCCCCCGGGCGAGGTGGCACCTGAACAGGGACGGGCGACRCTGCCAGGGGACACGGCAGGACAGGCAGAAGATCTACAAGAGGGACAAGGTGACGCTGGGACAGGCCTGGGGTGGGTGAGGGTCCGGGTGGGTGACACGGGGCCAGAATAGGCCCAGGGTGACACCGCGACAAGACCGGGGCCTGGGTGGCTCCAGCACGGGACAGTATTGGGTGACACTGGAGCAAACTGGGGACGCTGGGATGGGTCAGGACAGGGYAGGAGCGGCCCAGGCCGGGGACGGGTCAAGGATGGGGGGACACTGGGACGGGACCGGGTCACACTGGGACGGGGCGACCCCGGGACGGGGCCACCCGGGGCCTCGACGGGGACACGCGCGGACAGGAGGCGGGGGGGGCGGAGTGTCTGCGCAGGGGGCGGGGCAAGGCGGGGCCTCTGGCCAATAGGCACCGCCGTCAGTGGGCGGGAACTCGCCCGTGTCCAATCAGGGAGCGGCGGTGCGATGAGGCCCCGCCCCCGGCAAAATGGCGGCGCCCACGGATGCGCCCGGCGGCCACGTGGGCAGCGGGTCCGAGTCTGAATCCGAATCCGGGTCCGGGTCCGGTTCGGAGCCCGAGGCCGGTTCGGGCGGCGGGGCGCTGCTCGCCGCGCTCCCGCGCTGCCCCGCGCTCTTCGCCGACGCCTTCCCCGAGCGGCGGCGCTACCGGCTGTGCGGGCGCGTCGTGCGCATCGCGCAGCACCACGGCGCGCGGCTCGGCGTGGCGGCGCCCGTGTGGGAGGCGGTGCGGGCACCGGGAGCCGCGGGGACACCGGGGAGACCGGGGGGACACGGGGAGCTGCGAGGACACCCGGAGCCGCGGGGACACCGGGGAGACCGGGGGGACATGGGGAGCCGCGGGGACACCGGGGAGCTGCGAGGACACCGGGAACCACGGGGACATCGGGAGCCACGGGGACATCGAGGAGCTGCGGGGACACCGGGAGCCATGGGGACACCGGGAGCTATGTGGACATTGAGGAGCTGTGGGGAGACCGGGGGGACATGGGGAGCCGCGGGGACACTGTGGGAGACCAGGCTGAGGAGGGGGACAGCCCGCGGAGCGCTGGAGATTTGGGGGCACCCATAGGGACACTGAGGCACCAGGGGACCTATTGGAACACCAGGGAATGGAGGGACCCCCAGGAGCGCTGAGGGGTAGTGGGACATCAAGGGAAAAGGGGGAGACGTGGGAGGGGTGGAGACCATGGAATGGGCGGGATCCATTCCATAGGGACACCAGGGAGCAGGGAGGAGAGATCTATAGTGACATCAGGGAATAGGGGGAGAGATCCATAGGGAGACCAGGGAATAGGGAGGGAAGATCCATAGGGACACCAGGGAATAGGGGGAGAGATCCATAGGGAGASCAGGGAATAGCGGGGGAGATCCATAGGGACACTAGGAGTGGGTTGGAGAGACCCTGGGCTGTCCCCAAGCAGGGTGTCCCCATATGGGGACGGGTGACCCCGCTCGCTGTCCCCGCAGGCCCTGGCCCTGTGCGCCTACTTCGAGGAGCAGCAAATGGACTTCCAGGGCAAGAGCGTCATCGAGCTGGGCGCCGGCACCGGCATCGTGGGCATCCTGGCCGCGCTGCTGGGTGGGCAGGGGACCCCCGGGCACCCACCCCCCAGCCCCAGGTCCCATAAGAGCCCAGGGAGGGACGGGGAGCCCTGGGCGCTGAGCTTGAGGGCTGCTATAGAGGCCCTGGAGCGGCGGGGGCCTCCATAGGGACCTGTTGGACTCTATAAGGACCCGCCGCCCCTGGGGAGSAGGTTCTGGAGACCGGCGGGGTCGAGGCAGCCTCCGTTTTTAGGATGTTGAGGGCTGCGGATGAGGGAGGCTGGAGCCTCATCCCGAGCCCCTCTGCTGTGGCGCCCGCAGGAGGGGACGTGACCATCACGGACCTGCCCGTGGCCTTGGAGCAGATCCGGGAGAACGTGCGGCGGAACGTGCCGGCGGCGCGGGCTCCTCGGCCCCGCGTCCGCGCCCTCTCCTGGGGCCTGGACCACGACGCCTTCCCGCGCGGCGCCTACGACGTCGTCCTGGGCGCCGACATCGTCTACGTGCCCGAGACCTTCCCGCGGCTGGTGGCGACGCTGCGGCACCTCGCGGGGCCGCGCACCGTCGCCCTCCTCTCCTCCAAGATGCGGCGGGAACTCGGCGCCGCCTTCTTCTTCGAGACGCTGCTGCCGCGGCACTTCCGCGTGGAGCTGCTGCGGCGCCACGAGGAGCAGGACATCAACATCTACCGGGTGACCTGCCCGGCCCCRGCCGGGGTCCTGCCCCTCGCATCCCACTCGGACCGGGATGAGGGCTTTGTCCCGACGCAGGCGGCACCCGGCATGTCCCAGGAGCCGCCCTGAAGTGCATTAAACCGCTCCGAGCTGAACCCGGATGCGTGGGGGGCATGGGGGGCACTGGGGATCTCCTGTCCCCAATGGGGGGAGCAGTGCGACCCASTAGGACCTGCTGGGTGTCCCCAGGTGTGGGAGGGTCCTCGGGGAGCCAGGCAGGGACTGGGGGGGGCTCCATAGGGGCCCTCTGGGCCTTACGGGGGGCTGGGGTCACTATGGGGACCCTTTTGGACCGGCCAGGGGCCCGAGGGGCCCATGGGGTCAGGAGGAGCCCTATGGGGGAGCCCAGGGGGACATGTCAGGGCCTGGGGGTCGTGCTGGGGCCCATAAGGGTCCTGCGGGAGCTCTGTGGGGGGCAGAGGGTCCTCATGGGGGCCGGGGCTCGCCTATAGG